TTGAGATGATCATGTTATTATTTTCTTTTGTTTTATTTATGTGGTGGATTAAGTTGATTGATTTTCTAATGTTGAACCATCCTTGCATACCTGGTCATGATATGTTATTTTTTTGATGTGCTGTTGAATTCTATTGGCTAGAATTTTGTTGAGAATTTTTCCTTCTATGTTCGTGAGGGATATTGATCTGTAGTTTTGTTTTTTTCGTGGTGCCTTTGCCTGGCTTTGGTATCAGGATTATACTGGCTTCATAGAATGAATTCTGGAGTATTCCTTCCTTTTCTATGCTCTGAAATAGTTTGAGTACTATTGGTGTAAGCTCTTCTCTGTTTGGCAGAATTCTCCAGTGAAGCTGTCTAGGCCAGGGCATTTTTTTGTTGGAAGTTTTTTTTATTACCTCTTCAATCTCTTCTTTTGTTATGGGTCTGTTCAATATTTCTACCTCAGTTTGTGTTAGTTCAGGTAGGTAGTGTATTTCTAGAAATTCGTCCATTTCCTCTAGGTTTTCAAGTTTGTTGGAGTACAGTTTTTCATAATATTCTGTTATGATCCTTTTTATTTCAGTCGGTTCTGTTGTAATGTCACCTGTCTTGTTCCTTATTTGAGTTATTTGCTTCTTCTGCTTTTCTTTTGTCAGTTTGGTCAGTGGTTTGTTGATTTGATTGATCTTTTCAGAGAACCAACTTCCGGTCTTGTTGATTCTTTCTATTGGTTTTCTGTTCTATATTTCATTTATTTCTGCTCTAATCTTAATAATTCCCTTCCTCCGGGGAACGGGGGCCTTTTTTTGCCACTCTGTTTCTGTTTGTTTGAGTTGTAGGGTTAATGTTTTGATTTTGGCCCTTCTTTTTTGGTGTGTGTGTTTATTGTTATAAATTGACCTCTGAGCACTGCTCTTGCTGTGTGTCAACGGTTTTGATATATTGTGTTTTCATTCTAGTTTGATTCTAGAAATTTTTTAATTTCATCTTTGATTTCTTCTATTACCCTGTGGTTTTTAAGCAAGGTGTTATTCAGTTTCCATTTACTTAATTTTTTTTCCTTGATCCTTCTGTTACTGATTTCTATTTATATATCGTTGTGATCAGAGAAAAGGCTTTGTATTATTTCAGTGTTTTGGATTTCATTGAGGCTCGCTTTGTGGCCTAAATTGTGGGCTCTTCTGGAGAATGATCCATGTGTGTTGGAAAGGAATGTATACTTTACTTTTGTTGGTGGAGTGTTATATGTCTGTGAGGTCAAGTTGGTTGATTGTGGCCTTTAGATGTTCTGTATCTTTGTTGAGTTTCTAGCTGTTCTGTTTTTTAACAAAAGTGGTATATTGAAGTCTCCTACTATTATTGTGGAACTGTCTATTTCTCTTTTCAAAGCTGTTAGAGTTTGTTTTATGTATTTTGGAACCCTGTCATTGGGTGCATATATGTTTATTGTGTTTATGACCTCTTGGTGGATTGACCCTTTAATTCTCCTTTATGTTTTGTGGTGCATTTTGCCTTAAAGTCTGTTTTATCAGAGATTAATATTGCCACTCCTACTCCTTTTTGGTAATTGTTTGCTTGATGTATTTTTTTCTGTTCTTTGAATTTTAGTGTACTTATATCTTTGTGTCTAAGGTGTGTTTCTTGTAGACAGCATATTGATGGGTCATGTTTTTTTGGTAACCCTTCTGCCATGCTCTGTCTCTTTACAGGTGAATCTAAGCCATTTACATTCAGTTTGATTATCGATAGGTATGAATTCATTGCTGTCACTTCATTGAGTTTTCTGTGTGTGTGTTATGTTGATTTTTTTTGTTCTGCTTAATTTCTGTGCTCAGTTCTTTGTGAATTTTCTTTTCATTTCTTTCATTGTTGTTGATTTTGTGTTTACTGAGTTTCTCTGTTTTTTTTTTCTTTTTTAATTGATGAGTAGATTTGTTAACTTTCTTTGTGGTTACCTTGAAATTTACCTTTACCTTCCTAAGTTTGAAGCAGTCTTTTATTTCTTGATGTCTCCTTGACTTCCTCTCCATATGAAAGTTCTATAACTACACTACTTATTCCCTCTTTTTGTTTTGACGTCATCATTTACAGATTGACTTTTCTGGTTCTGTTTTCAGTCTCTTAGCTTTCTTTTATTTTTGACAATTCTTTATCTGGCTAGGTATCTGACTGATGCTGTCCTGTGTCTTAGTCTCAGATTGTTGTCTGATGATGTTGGTTCTCTGTTCAAAGGACTCCCTTTAAGATTTCTTGTAAGTCTGGTCTGGTTTTTACAAATTCCCTTGATTTTTGTTTATCTGGAAATGTCCTAATTTCCCCATTGTATTTGAGAGACAATTTTGCTGGATATATAATTTTTGGTTGCAGTTTTTTTCTTTCAAGGTTTTAGATATGTCATCCCATTGCCTTCTTGCCTGCATGGCTTCTGCCGAGTAATCAGAGTTTAGTCTTAATTGGTTCTCCTTTGTAGGTGACTTTTCATTTTTCCTGAGCTGCTGCCTGGATTCTTTCGTTGTCTTTGGTTTTTCCAAGTTTGATTATGATATGTTTTTTGTGACTTTCTTTTGGGATCTATCCTTTATGGGGTTTATCGAATGAGCTTCTTGGATGTATATGTTCTTATCTTTCATGATATTAGGGTAGTTTTCTGCCAGCAAATCTTTGACATTTCTTTCTGGGTTTTGTTTTTGTTTGTTTTTTTCTTTTTTTTTTGCATCCTCCTATTCTGGAATTCTGATCACACATAAAATTTTCCTCTTGATAATATCCCACATAATTTTTAGGCTTTCTTCATTCTTTTTTCTGATTTTTCCTCAAACAAATTGGTGTCAAGGGATTTGTCCTCCATTCTGCTGATTCTGTCTTCCATTGATTCAGTTCTGCTCCTATGTCTTTCTATTGGTTTGCAAAGTGACTTTTTATTGATAAGATTTTTAACAGGCCAAATTAGACTGAAGGCTAGAAGTGATTGAAAGTTTGGGAATCCCTTGGGAGCTTTATTTAGAGGCAAATGCTGTGACTGCAGAACTGGTTTTGAGTCATAGTATCTTCCAACCTGTTAACTCAGATTCTGGGTATTCTTTAGATTGCTCTGGAAGCTGCCAAAGCACTGGATGATAAGAACTGCTGGGAAAAGCTGGGAGAAGTGGCCCTACTACAGGGGAACCACCAGATTGTTGAAATGTGCTATCAGCGCACGAAAAACTTTGACAAACTTTCCTTCCTGTACCTTATTACTGGCAACCTAGAGAAACTTCGCAAAATGATGAAGATTGGTGAGTCCTCTGAAATAAAGGATGGGAAGAGGGGTCCTTAGGGGAAGGAGGGAAGTGAACAGAAAGAAAGAACTTAAGAGAGAAGACATAACTGCCTGTCTGTTATTGACTTGGCACAGCTGAGATTCGAAAGGACATGAGCGGTCATTATCAGAATGCCCTGTACCTCGGCGACGTGTCAGAGCGAGTGCGGATTCTGAAGAACTGTGGGCAGAGTGAGTATCTCATCAGGACTCACCAACCTCTTTGGGGCCTTAGGAAGTATTTTTCTCTTCATGTTGAGTTTCTCATGTGTAGTGGTAAATAATTTCTTTTGTGCATTGTTTTCAAGAGAGCATGTTCCTGCCATGCTCAGAAGACTTTCTTCAAAGCTAAATAGGGGTGCTGCCAGAATATTCAGTCTGGCCAAGTCCCCTTAGGAAAGTAGTTAATGGTTATAGGGTAGACAGGAAGTTTTAAAAGGTCCTGGGACAGATGATCTAATAAATATAATTGGTTAGGTGCCGTTCTAGTTTCATTCCTTTACTTCAAATCTGGACGTTTCACTCATTTACTTATTTATTCATTTATATTTTCAAGGAATATTTTTTGAGAATCCACTAAGTATCATGTATTATACTAGCATTTGAGATATATCAGGGAACAAGAAAAGTTAAAAATGTGGTTTGGACTGAGGTGCTAGCATGTGGGGGTGAGCATGGTCTTATTTGGGATATATTTTGAAGGTAGAGTCAACGGGATCTATTGAAGGACTGGATGTGTAACGTGAAAGAGAAGTCAAGGATGATTCCAGCGTTCTCATCAACACTGATGATAGAACTTAAGGATAAGCACCTGTATTAGTTATCTATTACTGTGAACAAATTACCCCAAAACTTAGTGGCTTAGAACAACAAACATTTATCAATCTCACAGTTTCGGGCATGACTTAGCTGGGTGCCTCTGCCTCATTGTCTCTCATAAGACTGCAGTCAAGGTGTTGGTTGGGGCTGCAGTTATCTCAAGGCCCATCTGGGTGAAGATCCACTTCTAAGCCCTTTCACATGGCTGTTGGCAGGCCTCATGTCCTCACTGGCTTTGCTGGGAGACATTGGTTTCTTGCCATGCAGACTCTCCATAGGACAGTACACAACATGGCAGCTGTTTTCCCTCAGAGTAAATGAGCAAGAGAGTGTGCTGAAGATGGAAGCCACAGTCTTCGTAACCTAATCTCAGAAGTCACATCCAATCACTTCTGCCATATTCTCTTCATTAGAAGCTAGTCAGTAAGTCTAGCCTATACTCAAGGAGAGGGGATAATGCAAGGGCATGAATGCCAGGAGGCAGGGATCACTCAGAGGCTGCCTATCACAACAGTATTCTCTTGGAAATGTACCTGCCTATGCCACAAAGTCTGTTTTCTCTACAGAGTCACTAGCCTATCTCACAGCAGCTACCCATGGCTTAGATGAAGAAGCTGAGAGCCTGAAGGAGACATTTGATCCAGAGAAGGAGACAGTGAGTCTTTGCTTACATGAGTGTCTCTGATTGTGGGAGTAACTCTGAGATCTTGGGATAATTTCACCCTCCCACCTGGTTACTGGGAGAGGCAGAGAAACAAATGAGATCAAAAGAGTTTCCATAATCTTCCCCTACATGACTCCTGGAAGCTATTTACTTTTATCCTCATTTCTTCTACCTTTCAGATCCCAGACATTGACCCTAATGCTAAGCTGCTTCAGCCACCTGCACCTATCATGCCACTGGATACCAATTGGCCCCTGTTGACTGTGTCCAAAGGATTCTTTGAAGGATCTATTGCCAGCAAGGGTAAGCACCTATTTCTCCCATAGCATTCTTGGGGTTTTTTTGGTTGTTGCTGTTATTGTGATTTGTTTTTGGAAGAACTGTCCCGTTGGATACCATTAGCTTTTAACTTTGTCTGTTTTTTTTCTGGGTGAAGCCTCATGGAGCACTGAGATATCAATGGGTCATGGCATAGTCCTTCAAAGAATAAATAATAGCATTTTGAGATAATTAAAGAAAGTTTGGAAAACGGGGGAAAATAGAAGGGACAGTCTCTTAGTCCATGCCTCCACCAACCACCGTTAACATGTCGGTGTACTTCCTTAGGTTTTACCATAAATGTAGTCATACTCTACGTTCAGTGTTTTGCCATTCATGACATTCAGTCTTAAGGTGCAAACTCAGCTGCCTCAAGCTGATGTGTGCTAACACCCTCCACCACCTACACGCTTCCCCCTCCTCCTGTTTTCTTGAATATGTCTACTAGTTATTTCTCATGAGTAAGAGCCTACACAGACCCTTGGGGGTTTTGTTCCCAGTCCTGCTCTTTCCTCCATCCCTTCCCACCTACCCTGTGTCCTCATGCCCTGCGTACTCTGTTACACCACACACATACAAACCTGAATCCACATAAATAGAGAAAAGCAGTGGGGAAGGACAGTCTGTTTCTGACAATGTTTTTTTCTGCCAAGCACCTTAAATATAGCTATCCTTCTAGTATAATATCTACATTTCCTCCACGTAGCTTGTCTTCTTCACCTGTGGTTTAGTCATTTCAGTTTTATTGTATCTGAGCCTTGTTTATGATAAGCCATCTTTAATCTTTCTTTGGGACTAGATGAAATAGAGCTAACAAGTAAATGGTTGAATGACTATGTCTGTACTCAGATGATAAAGTATTGGGAGCTCTGTCGATAAAAGGTCTTTTAAAAGTTTCTTCCTCACCTCCTCAGACCAGAAATAATCCAACAACTGAAACCCAACATCTTGACTTTGAGAGTTGGTTTCCCTTCCGGCCCAGCTAGAGTCTTTTCCAATATGGTACATGCACAAAAAGATAAAAGGTGGCAGGGAGCTTTTATCTTCTTTCCCTTCTCAAAAATTTGAAGTTAGTCTCAGACAACTGTGGAAAGATAAAAAGATTAGAAAATGAAACCTAGAAAGAAATAAGGTTTAATGGCGGTAGGGAGGGAGCAAATATACTGTACACTTGTAGATTCCAAGCCTTTTGCTAGTATTTTATTTCATTAACTGTAAGTATTATCTCATTTAATCCCTACAAGTAAGGTAATTTGTCCAAAGTCCCCCAACTAGTGAATGTCAGAGCTAGATCAAACCCATTTTTGCAGGACTCCAAAGCACTAAACCATGAATTATACTCAGGAAGGGATTGGAGGGACTTCTGGAAAAAACTGTATAATGTGTTAAGGTTGTGAAGCATTTTTAAAAAGGATGCTAATTAATGTTTTTCATAGAAGCAGTATGGTATTGACAAAACTGTTAGATTAATCTCAGATCTGAGTCTGAGTTGCAGATTTATTGCTCTACCAGCTGAATTTCCTTGGACAACTTTCTTAATTTCTTGGTAACACTACCTGCTCAATCTCCTTCCTTAGGTGGTTGTTGTGGAAATGAAATGAGATCTTGACAATTTATATAACTTGTAATACACTCAGTCAGTGTAGGGTGAAAAGATGATCTTGAGGACTAAGTAAAAGACATTGGACCACTGTAGTGATGATAACTTGGGAAAGATCTCAGAAAAAAATTCCAGGAGTTAGTAGCTGAAAGCTGGGGTGTCAGAGATGGTTTAAGAGCCGATTTTCGGTAGTAGGAAGGACATTTGCTTCCATTTCTCTTCTATTGTATTTGTGAAACCTACTGCAAGTTAGCATAATAAAAGCTCCCCAAAGTTCCAAGTGTCAGGCCGGCTTACACATACATAGCACAAAAATAAATAATAAATAAAAACAGTAGGCATAACCTTGGCACCTTTGAAAGGATACAGCTTGCCTGCTGAGGAGGCCGTATCTCAGACTTGCCTGGGACAACCACTTCCTCTCTGTTTCCTCCCTCTGTAGGGAAGGGAGGAGCACTGGCTGCTGACATTGACATTGACACTGTTGGTACTGAGGGCTGGGGAGAGGATGCAGAGCTGCAGCTGGATGAAGGTGAGAGTGCTACTCTAGGGCTATTCTTGCAAGATGGACTCCGTGGATTGGGACTGGGTTGTTAGGGCAGTTCTGCAGTCTTCCAGATCATGAGAATCAACAAGGATCCCAAAGGTTCGCTTTCCTTTGGCTAAGATTGTGTCAGTATCCAAATCTGTTTTGAGTCTGGATTTTCCTTACAGATGGGTTTGTGGAGGCCACAGAAGGTTTAGGGGATGATGCTCTTGGCAAAGGACAGGAAGAAGGAGGTGGCTGGGATGTAGAAGAAGATCTGGACCTTCCTCCTGAGCTGGTATGTGGAATTCTTAGCCTTGTAAGGCTCTCCTTTTCTTCTCCCTGTAGAAGCAGGTGGCCCTACCTACATCTCCCACCTCCTGCCAATATCCTGAGGGTCCCTAACAGGGAGGGGACCTAGACCCTCCTAATCTCATGCGTATCTTCTGTTGGAAAGAAGGAAAAAAAGTTAGGGTTAGTGGCCTTATCACCTCCACCTATCCTGAGTTACCCAAACAGAAGGAGATCTAAGGACCTACCTCTATTATGATGCTTATCTCCCACTGGAAAAAAAGAAGACTCTACAGCTATAGTAATCAAATAGCCTGGTACTGGTATAACAACAGACACGTAGACCAATGAAATAGAATCGAGAGTCCAGAAATAAAGCCACACATTCTATGGTCAACTGATTTTTGATAAGGGTGCTAAGTCTATTTGATGGGGAAAGAGTCTCTTCAATAAATGGTGCTGGGAAAATTGGATTTCCACATGCAGAAAAATGAAACAGGATGCATGCCTCACACCCTGCACAAAAATTAAAAATGGATTAAAGACCTAAATATGCAAACTAAAACCATAAAATTCTTAGAAGAAAAAGCAGCGGCAATGCTGTCAGGCCTAACTTTTACCAGTGGATTATCTAATATAATAACAGAAGCACAAACAGCAAAAGATGAAATAAATAAATGGGACTTCATAAAAATTAAAAACTTTTGTTCAGCAAAAGACTTTACCAAAAAAATGAAAAGACAAGCTACCGACTGGGAGAATATCTTTAGAAACCATATCCAACAAGAATCTAATAACCAAAATATAGATAAAATCTTGACAACTTAAAGAAAAAGACAAATAACCTAATCATGAAATGGGTAAAGGACTTGAATAGACATTTCCCCAAAGAGCACATTCAGATGACCACCAAATACATGAAAAGATGCTCAGCGTCATTAGCCATCAGAGAGATGCAAATCAAAACCACAATGACATATCATTTCATTCCCACTAGGATGGCTAAGGAGCCCTGGTGGTGCTGTGGTTAGGTGTTTGGCTGCTAACCAAAAGTTCAGCAGTTCAAATCCACCAGCTGCTCCTTGGAAACCCTTTAGGGCAGTTCTACTCTGTCCTGTAGGGTCACTATGAGTCAGAATTGACTCGACGACAACAGGTTTGTGTTTTTTTGTTTGTTTGTTTATGATGGCTGAGATTAAAAAAAAAAAAAACAAATATTGGCGAGGATGTGGGGAAATTGGAACCCTTATCCATTGCTAGTGGCAGTGCAAAATGTTACAGCCATTATGGAAAACAGTGTGGTGATTCTGCAGAAAACTAAAAATGGAACTAACATATGACCCAGCAATTCCACTCCTAGGTATATACCCAGAAGACTTGAAAACAGAGAGTCAGAGATGTGTACACCAATGTTCATTGCAGCACTACTCACAGTAGTCAAAAGGTGGAAGCAACCTAAATGCCCACCAACAGATGAATGGATAAAGAAAATGTGGTACATACATACAATGGAATACTATTCAGCCAGTAGGAGAAATGAAGTCTTGAAACATGCTACAGTATGGATGGAGCTTGAAGACATTATGCTGAGTGAAATAAGTCAATCACAAAAGGACAATTATATGACCTCACTTATATAAAAAGATAAGAAAAGGCAGATGTATAGAGGCCAAAGTTTATTAGTGGTTATCAGGGCCGAGAGGGGCGGGGACGGGGTGGTTAACAGTGATGGAAATATCACATGATTAAGGGTAGGGTTGCATAGCTGATTATTGTAATTGCTGTCAATAAATTGTACACCTTTAAAAAGTTGAAAGAAAAATTCTACTGGACAATGCTGTTCTAGGTGGAATGGGATGATAATATAAACATCATTTGATACAACAAGAGAGTTAACCAGGAAGAGGTGCATCTCCATGATTATACTGGTAAAGGTGGTTGAAATTAATGTCAAGGGCAACTGTAATGGAGAAGATACGCTGTTAACGGGCAGCGTGCACCCTCATAGGTGTATGTGGGAGGCCACAAGCCGGGCACAGTGATTTAGATGAATCTGGAGCCACTTCTCTACCCACCTGGGTCTCAGCCCAAGCTGTGAAACTACATTGTTATCCATCATTATCATCACTGTTATGTCAGACATCTTCTATGCCACTGCCACTTCCTGTTTCCTTTCAATTTACCTGATTTAATGAGGCTGAATGTTATTAGTCTAGGAAACAGATAAACCACATCTTCTGAAACCAGCTACATGCTGACGAATTTTCAAAAAGTGTTCTTTGCTAAAAGATGAGTTTCTAGAGGGCAAGTGCTGTTTACATAAGCAACAACCGGGCAGTAGACTCAGAATTAGGAAGCCCTGAGTTTGAATTCTGACTCTACTGTTCATTAGCTGTGTGACTTGGCAAGTTGTGCAGCTTAGCAGAGTCATATTTATAAAATGTGTTAATAGTTTCTACCTTACAGATTTGTGAGAAGTGAGAGAGGAAAATGTACGTAAACGATTTAGCACTGTGGCATACTATGAGTACTCAATAAATGGTACTACAAAAAAGAAAAATGATATAATCAAGGTTGTGCTGAGGGCAGCTTATGAAAAGGCAGCAAGTTTTTTTGTTGAATTGGAGCTTTCATATATCATTTTGTTACTGGTGAGGCTGTTGCTATTTTGAGGGTCTTCTATAACTACCACCCGCCTCTGCAGTGGAGGCTGGGAACAAGGTAATGGATCGTGTTTGGGATTCATCAGGACAGAGTGCTTGAACAGCTTTAAAAATGACTCAATTTTTCTGTCTTTCGCCTAGGATGTGCCCACTGGGGCAGGTGGTGGAGCTGAGGATGGTTTCTTTGTGCCCCCCACCAAGGGAACCAGCCCAACTCAGGTAAGCAGGAAAACAGGGCCCTGGGGATGAGTGTTTTTGAGCTGGCTAATACTTGATTTGTGTGTCAACAGTATCAGATAGCTTTCTACTATTGACATAGAGTAGAATAGTTTGGGAAGAGAAAGAACAGAATTTCACATGGGCTGGGTTTTCTGTTTCTTGTTAGATCTGGTGCAATAACTCTCAGCTTCCAGTGGATCACATCCTGGCAGGCTCTTTTGAAACAGCCATGAGGGTAAGTTTCTTAAAGGGGTCTTGACTCTTCACCTTGAGTATGCCTAGCTCAGCCCAGGGTTCCAGGGAGGTGGTTAATTCGTCTTAACCACATATACACACCCAGGAAGTGTGTAGTTAGCACTGAAACCCTTGGTCTTGGTCTAAGTATACTTGCCTCACAAGGCCTTCCTTTTATCTGCTTTCTGCTTGGTCTAGTAATCTCTGAAGGCAGGTGCTTCCAGCCATCTTCCAGCCAGCCTGCTTCCTGGCTTCACATCAGTGAGATCAGTACCCCTTCCAGAATAGATGTATGTTTTGAACACTAAGCCCTGTGCCATAATAGCAATAATAATAATAATAATAACAATTGCAACAGTGTTTACTGTGTGTCAAGCTCTATCCTAAATGCTTTACAAGTATTATTAAGCAAGGTAGATCCTATAATTAAGTATATTTTACTGGTTAGGAAACAAGAACAGAGAAGTTAAATATCTTGCCCATTATCAATTTTAAGTGGTGAGGCCAAAATCTTTATGTTGCTTTCCTCTTGTTCCAGCTCCTTCATGACCAGGTTGGGGTAACCCAGTTTGCCCCCTACAAGCAACTATTTCTACAGACATATGCTCGGGGCCGTACCACCTATCAGGCTCTGCCCTGCCTGCCCTCCATGTATGGCTACCCTAATCGCAATTGGTAAGGCCCGTTGCTCTTTGCTTCTATCTGTTCCAAGTGTCGTGTAGATATCTCAGGAGGTAGCCTCAGAATTCAAAATTTTCCCAGAGCTGGGGTTTCCTAGTAGGAAAAGATCCTTGGCTCACCATCTGTAAGATTTGGCTTATACCTGCTGCCATCCTATTTACCAGCTACTTCCACAGTAGGGGCTTGTGATTATGTTTGCCAGAAAAAGATGTTGAGTCCTAGTTGACTCTTACTATCCTCTGTCTTCTTCCTGCTTTTCCCTTTCCAGGAAAGAGGCAGGGATGAAAAATGGTGTTCCAGCAGTAGGCCTGAAGCTTAATGACCTTATCCAGCGTTTGCAGCTGTGCTACCAGCTCACCACAGTTGGCAAGTTTGAGGAGGCTGTGGAAAAATTCCGCTCCATTCTCCTCAGTGTGCCACTCCTTGTTGTGGACAATAAACAGGAGATTGCAGAGGTAGGAGGGGCTGGCCACTTGTCCCAGATCTAGGCTCCCCCACTTTCTTGCCTCTGCACCACGACCTTCTTATACCCCTCTCTCCAGGCCCAGCAGCTCATCACCATTTGTCGTGAGTACATTGTGGGCTTGTCCATGGAAATAGAAAGGAAAAAGCTGCCCAAGGAAACTCTAGAACAGCAGAAGCGCATTTGTGAGGTAAGAGCTGTGGGCCTCTGAGCACTACCGAGACATCTTCCCCTTCACCCTTCATTAGGTCTGAATTTCGTAATTCCAAACTCAGTCTGGGGAAGAAGAGAGGTTTGGGCCCATTTCTTTGAAAAGGGCTGCATTTTTTTTACCCTACTTCATCATCCTATCGTCCTCCACATCTGGGAGGACTGTTTTATAGCCAGTCCTGGTTTTTGCTTTTTAAATGCATATGTAGCACGTTGTAAGACATCTATCCCAGTTCTTGCATCAACCTGGCACCTGCTCCTCTTTTTGTCCACCAGATGGCAGCCTATTTCACTCACTCAAACCTGCAGCCTGTGCACATGATCCTGGTGCTGCGCACAGCCCTCAACCTCTTCTTCAAACTTAAGAACTTCAAGACAGCTGCCACCTTTGCTCGGCGCCTGCTGGAGCTCGGGCCCAAGCCTGAGGTGGCTCAACAGGTACTCCTTCAGTAATCATAGGGGAACCAGACTTGTTCTTACATGGAGGGAACAGAAAACCAAGGTCCTTGCCTCTGAAACAAAGTACAGCATTCAACAAAAAAGCCACCAGAACGCCATCCTCTAGTTACTGACCTGGTGCCCCCGTTTGTTCCTGGAAACTGAATTGATGACTTATTCAGACATGGCACCAGTGGGAAAGTGACCTGCAACGTGAAGTAGCTCCACTGCACCTGAAAAAAACCGCAGTCTGTCCTCCAGCTCCAGATATCCCATCCACTACTGACCTCCACATACACATCTGTCTTAGTTTCTTAGTTCTGCTGTCACAGAAATACCACAAGTGGGTGTCTTTAACAAACAGAAACTTATTTTCTCACAGTTTAGGAGGCTGGAAGTCTGAATTCATGGTGTCAGCTCGAGGGGAAACTTTCTCTCTCTGTTGGCTCTGGGGAAATGTCCTTGCGTCTTTTTAGCTTCTCTTCTTCGGTTCCTTGGTGTGTGTCTTCCCTCATTTGTGCTTCTTTCTCTTTTTATATCTCAAAGGTGATTGGCTTAAGATATACCCTACACTGATATGGTCTCATTAACATAACAAAGAAAGTCCTATTCCCAAATGGGATTACATCCACTAGTATAGGGGTTGAGGATTTACAACACATATTTTTAGGGGGCACAGCTCAATCCATAACAATATCCCACTGCTTATGCCCTCCAGATGCATTCTCCTTGGGCAGTGGAAGCCAGTTTTGACCCTTTCTAGGATCTAATCCTGATAACCCCCAGACGTGGTGGAGTGTAGGTCTAGATCCACGAGCCACTTTGGTATTGAGAAGGAGAAAGCCAGATACAACAGAAATAGCGATTGTTACCCCTTCACGTATATCCTGTACAGAAGGTGGGGCCTGTACCCCCATATAGGACAATTGCATCCTGCATCAAAGAAACTGCTAAACCACAGTGATAACATCATTTGAGTTGTTGTGCGCAACTTTCAGTCCTTCTTAATAAAATATTCTTTCCCTGTCCTAGACCCGAAAAATCCTGTCTGCATGTGAAAAGAACCCCACAGATGCCTACCAGCTCAATTACGACATGCACAACCCCTTTGACATCTGTGCTGCATCTTATCGGCCCATCTACCGTGGAAAGCCAGTGGAGAAGTGTCCACTCAGTGGAGCCTGCTATTCCCCTGAGTTCCACGGTCAAATCTGCAGGGTCACTACAGTAAGTACTGACCTTAGGAAATGCCTCTAGGATATTGTGGAATGGGAAAAAGAAAGAAGCGTGGTAGTCCTTTCTGCTGGATTTACCCCTAGCTCCTTGAGGCAGTGACAGTGGAGAAAACTAGAACTTCACTACTGCTCTATACCAATAAATAGCAAACACCTGTCTGCCTTGCCCATTGAGAGGTGGAGAGACTCAGCTTTCTAGGCTTCTCAACCTCGCAGATCCCTAACTTTTCCCTCTGTTTCCTCTTCCACAGGTGACAGAGATTGGCAAGGATGTGATTGGTCTAAGGATCAGTGCTCTGCAGTTTCGCTAGGGCCCCCTTTTCGTGCGTAGGGGAATAACCATATTTTCCTTCCAGAGAATGTCCCTCTGTCATTCTTCTAATGTCCGCCTTCTCCCAACCACCCCTCAGATTATCGACATTTGGCTCTCCCTACCCTAAAGCCTAGCGTCCTTTTCACTTTTATTATAGCTAATCAAAACGTCTCAAGTTGACATCTTTGCCTAGGAACCCCTCCATCTTCAGGTGACTACAGTTGTGGTCATAGTTGGCCTGGTCTTCCCAGCTTAGATCTTTCAAGGAACAAATGAAAATTCAGTGATGAGCATTCATTTAGTAAATTCATTCATTCAATATTTATCCCTCCCCTTCCCACCATCTTTGTATCCTGTTTGCCAGAAAGGCGGTGCAATGTAATAAGATACCATTTTTTACTCAACTCTCCTAAACTCTTAGCCATCCTTCCATTTTCCTGGGCATTGAACTTCCCAAGTAAGTATCCTCTGTGTGCCTAGAAATTTAAGATCTGAGAAGAGAACACTTCATTTTCCAAAAATGTCCATGATTTTATGTTGATTTGTCCTTTACAACCGTTGTTCTCATATTTTGTTTCTCACACCAAATAAAGTAGATTTCTACAAGAGCTTCTTGTCTTGCCATTTGTTTCCTGGACACTCTCAGGTTCTACTCACCCCATGCAGCTGCCTCACTAAAGAAGATATCTTTCTTGCAATAGTTATTTTAATTACAAAAGTAACTAATACCCACTGTTAAAAAAAAAAAAGAAAAAAAAGCACATATTTTTCATAGGATATATGTGAGGCATAGACCTAAGCTGAGAATGGTAGGCAGCAAGTAGCTTTTCTATTCCATTTTCTACTGCAGTCTTCCATCTATTGCTAATTATAGCCATTATTATTTACTGAGCACTTAACCATGAGCCAGTTACTGCTCTGGATGTTTTATATGTAATACACATATATAAGAGTAATTAGTAGTACATATATATATTACACTGATTATTTTGGCGGTATTGTATTTTGCTTGTCATGTAATGAGACTAATCCGGTAAATATTGACGTACTATGCCTTTGATTAAAATATGTACGTTTTAACTTTTTAACATTTTTAATAAACAATACATTCACATAGTTCAAAAATCAGTAAATATAAAAAGCTATACTGTAACAGCTCTTCCTCCCACCCTTTTCTTTAGCCACCTAGTTTCTTTCACCTTCCCCAAAACAGGTAACCACTGTTACTAGCTTGCTTATACCCTTCCAGAGATTTCTTATATATATATACAAGCAGATATATGACCTTTCCTATCCCTCTTCTATGTACAAATGGAAGCATCCTATTTAACAATTCTGCACCTTGTTTTTTCACTTAGCGTATTTTAGAGATTTTTCCATATCAGTAAGTTAGAGAGCTTCACTCTTCTAGTGTTCCATTATGTGATATACCATAATTTATGTAAGTTGTCCCACGTTGATAGATATTTGGGTATTTCCATTCTTTTGCTGTCAGAAACAGTGCTGCAATGAATAACTTGAACACACTGTACAGGTGGGGGAAATGTATCTGGAGGTAAACAGAGTGGAATTCCTGCTTCAAAGAGCGCAAGCCTTTATAGTTTTTACCTTTATATTAACAGTCACTTAATACAAAGCACGCCCAAACAAAGCCTGCCTTCTTAAAATTTTGTATACTACTTGATAACATTTTGTCAAGTTATAGACATTCTTTCTGTAAACATAGGCAAGTTGGTGATAAATCTTGGCAAAAAAACTCCACCTTTTTATGAGTATAAAAATTATAGTCATGCACTGCATAACGTCCATTCAGGCAACATCTGACTTCATACACTTCCATGGTCCCATAAGGTTATACTAGAGTTCAGAAGTCCAGATCGGAGAACAAGATGTAGCAGACGTAACCAGATGTAGCAAACGCAACAGCTTCCTGCATGCAACATGAATATCTCATGTCTCTTATATACAAAGTGATTGTGCTGCCAGGTGTATAATGGTACAGTACATATGTAATCTATAATACATATGTCTTAATAGTCATAATGAATGCCTGTGTTACTGGCTTACGTATGTACTGTACTTCTATTATTTTAATATGAACTTTCCCTACTTACAAATAAGTTTATCATATAACAGTGTATGCTTCAACTCAGAGGCAGCAGCATCCAATCTTGTGTATCACGTGTCTCTTTAGTGTTGTAGGGTATCTCTTTAATTTTCTTTTGAAAATATTATCGTAAAATGTATCATGGCTCCCAAACCCAGCAAAACGAGTGCTCGTGATAGCAGTAGCAACAGGCAAAGGAGAAGTATCAATTTGGAAGTGAAACAAAAAGTCATTAAACAACATCAAGGTGGAAAATCAGTAAATCCTACTGCCCGTGATTTAGGCATGTTTGCATGATGTCCAAATCACACAGCGTCCTATTTCACAGAACGCATCATGGATGTTAAGCAACGCGTGACTATAAAATTAACTTTGCACACAACATAAACATTTGCCTAAACTGAGGGATATGAAAAAAATTGACAGACCCTGCTTCTTGAAGCTTATGTAATTAAGGAGACAAAGACATAAGTGAAATAATCATGAATGCCAGACAAAAATTTGAAGATGGCCAGTAAACAGTGGAGAGCCATTAAGTTCTTAAATAAGAGAGTGATGTCAAGAAAATTTTGTTTTGCAATAGTGTTCACTATACATTAGAAAGAAGGAGGAGCAGCCACGAGGTGAGTAAATACTGGGATGAGGTGTTAGGAATATTAATAGTAAAAACAAAAGCAGAAACAAGCTTAAAAGATATGGCAAAGGAAGAATCATGCTATGTTTAAAACAAAAAAAAAAAACAGTTGCCATCAAGTTGGTTCTGACTCACAATGACCCTATACGACAGAGTAGAACTGCCCCACAGAGTTTCCAAGGAGCACCTGGTGGATTTCAACTGCCGACCTTTTGGTTAGCAGCCATAGCTCTTAACCGCTACGCCACCAGGGTTTCCCATGCTATGTGAGATTCTCCTAAGTCTCAAAAATCATCTAGTAGTTTCTTTATTAACGTGCTTGTATTACCACAATAGAAATACTAACTTGTAGTTGGACAAATGTTACACTTTCAGCATATGCTTGATAAAACCATATTAGAGATACACGTATAAGCAGTTCAGAGTTGAATGAGAAAATTAGCCTGGAATCAATTACGTGACAGGTGTGGGGTTGAATAGGGCCGTAGAGTGCCAATTCTAATGTTAGATATTTGTAATCTGAGTCCTAGATTGATGAAGCGCTTTCAAAAGGACACAAAGTGATTTAGTGACAGAGTTGGGTCTAGAACTTAACATCCTCTGGTTCACAGTTCAGAATGTTTTTGCCTAAATCACACCACTTGCTTGTTTGGAAGAAAACACGTTTTGCACGGGTATGATTTTCACAAGTCTGTGCCATATCTGTGAAGGGAAAAGGTAAGTACACACAGTACTCAAATGTTTGTTTAGGAATCTAAGGGCCAAAGAGATGAAGTGACTTACACGTTTGTTTGTTTTTTTAACATGGATGTGATTTCTCCCTTCTTTTAACCTTTATAACACCTTATAACCTTTATCTCTTTTAAGACACCTTATGTCATACTGTGTATATGTTTAATTCTACCTTCAGCCCAATCCCCAGACAGCTACTTTAGGGCAGGAGCTGTTCCTGATTTATGTCTATATCCTTCACTGTGTCCAGCACAGGATTTTAAACAATGGTAGATACTGAGTTGTGAAATAGATTTGTCTCTGAGGGAGTTGCATTCTGACAGATCTGAATAGGAGTTGTCCGGAATCATCTCTGACTATCTGAGCATACCCCTCCTCACCCAAATTAGATTGGGTTCTGTATGGAGAAAAGGAGATAGGCCAGAGAAGGCCAGAGACTAGATCAGGTCTATTACTATTACGTTCAGATTGCCCTTTTGCTCAGTCTAAGGTCCCAGAGTTGCTTATTCTGCCTGATTGATTCAACTAACATTGAACTCTTACTACATTTGAATTACTTACTACACCTGGCCTTGTGTCCTTTAGTCCGACAGTTCTAGTAAAGAATAGGAAAAGAGATGTCCATTAGATCGGGCAGAGAAGCTGCCTAATTAAGAGTCTAGGAGAGCAAAGAGTGGCCAATGAATGCCTATTAAATACTAGGCCCTAGCCTAGGAGCTGGGGATCCAGCAGTGAAGACAACAGACAAAAATCACGGTGCTTAAATTCAAGTGTGGTGGGAGCCAATAGACAATAAACAAGATAAAAAGTATATAGCATGCCCTGGTGGCGCAGGGGTTACCAGCTCAGGCTACTAACCAAAAGGTCGGAGGTTCATATCCACCAGCTGCTCCACCAGCCGCTCCTTGGAAAACCCTGTCGTACAATTCTACTCTGTCCTGTAGGGTCGCCGAGTCGGAATCGAACCAAAGGCAACGGGTTTGGTTTTTGGTTTTGGTATGGTGTTTAGTGTTAAGGAGGATAATATATTCAGTAGTACGTATGTATGTGTATGGGGGATTGCAGTTTTATTCAATGAGGCCAAAGAAGGGGTCTCAGAGAAATGACATTTGAGTAAAATGCTGAAGGAAGTCACGGTAAAAATAGTGTGGGTTTCTATGCACTCTAATTGTCTTCTTGGTTATACATGTGTAGCTTCTAGTTATTTGTAGGCAGTATGTCCTCATCTGGCCTACCCACAGCTTGGGAAGAAGTAATGAAAGAGCAACTTCTCTAGATATGTGGGAAGTTGAAATAAAGTAGGCCAGGCCAGTAAGACACCAGGCAGAAGATCACATCAGCTGTCCTCACTTTAGTTCAGTGGTTCCTGGCGAAAGAGAAAATGCAAAGCTTCCTGTCCCTTTAAAAATGGCGGTTTCGGACTCGCCAACAATACTATTGGTTGCACACGGCGGGTGAGGGGGAGGTGCAGAAGAGTCCCGCCCCCTACGGCAAGTCAGAGGTAGCAAGATGGCCGCCGCTGAGGAAGACTGTGGAGTTGGGGGCGATGCTGATCGGGAATTGGAAGAGCTTTTGGAAAGTAAGAGCCAGTAATGGGAAAGGCCCAGAGCGGGCGGGTGTGAGGACCCATTCAGGGGGTTAAATGAGCCTGAAATATTTGGGGCGGAGCGGGAGAGGTTCTCCAAGGGTTGGACGGGGGCGGAGGTCTGACTGCGACCCCGAAGAAAATCTCTGGGTCACCTTCGCGGCGGGAGTTGGGGAGCTCACCTCTGGCCCCTGATGGCCCAGACCGTTGATCCCCCTGCCGGAGGGGGAACGGTAACCCACAGAACATTGTTCCTCTATTTCTCTCCAAATCCACTTTGGTTTGGATTAAGAAGTTCTTATAAGTCTAACTTCCCTGCAGCAGCATTCTGTCCGCGGTGGGCAACGAAACGGACGCTCATGGATTGTTAACATTAACTCTTCAAAGCCTGTAGCGCGTCCTTCAGTGCCCCTGTCTTATCCTTTTTAACACAAAGGACACTTCTTTCCTCCTTCCAGTCCTATCACCCTTCCCTCGCTAGTCCCCTTTCCAGTTCTAACATCATGTCAGTAGCTCAAGCGGACTCCTTTACCATTTTCGTGAGAAATTGAGGGTTGAGCCGGCCCCAGGGCAAGCCAGTTCACCCTCCTGAAAAACGGTGGATATATTTTTCTTTCTCGGCCCTGTCCTCCACTCCTCTGTTGGTTTCTTGCCCAGAGTGAGGCCAGTGCGCCCCCGCCCCACCGCCGCCCCAGGCCTGGCAAGCAGGGTGGTGTTGGCGACACAGAGGTGAATATTTTACTTCTTACCCAGTCAGAGAGGTGTGGGAAGGTGGGAAAATGGACAGAAACTGGGAGTGCC